ACCTGTTATGGTAAAGATCTTCTCTTCATCAGTGTCAAAGCTTACAGTCGGTTTCTTGGACGATTGTCCATTGTTTGTTTTGGGGTTACCCTTGGACTTCAGCATATAGGACTTCAAAGCCCCCTCATCAGCCAGATGTTCTAGAAGCCGCCTTAGGCTATAACAGCCATTGGTTTCATGGCTTATATCCTCATGGAAATGACAGTACTTTCTCTTGTCCCGGCTTTTGATGGGACTTTTTGTTGGGTTTCGCAGCGTCTAACGCTACGCGGAAGAGAAACCTTCCCAAGACCCACCCCAATAACTAAAGCAATAAAGCATGAATAAACATAATTAAACAATAATCAAGAAAAGAGATAAAGAAGTAATACCCTTGAAGCGTGCTTCGCTCGTAAACTGAGCTCTTACTTCGGAGCTTAAAGCCTCACAAGCGTGACGGCCTCCAACGGCTCGTACCCACAACCCGACCAGAACGATCTTAATCTCGATGGTTAGTCGAGACTTGACCAAGTATAAACTAGAGTTTTACAAACTTAAAGGTTTTCTCAATAATAAGAGATGCCTTTTTGAGTTCCACTCAAGTTGATTTCCAAATGCCCAATCACGAGGTATTTATAGGGAAATGCAACTTGCACTCCCATTCATGATCAATGTGGGATAGTTGCATTTTCTACTAATTTATTTAAATCAAAAATAAATTATAAAACAATGCAATCAACAATCAACAAGTGGCATGAGGAGAGGAGAGGTTAGGTGAGGACCATAACCAAAGGGGGGGACCATTACCCCAAGGCTTTGCTCCAAGCATTGGTCCCCACTCCTCCTAAACCGGCAACAAGCACAAGGTTGGGCTGGCAGCCTGCCTTGCTGGCCAGCTAGCACAGCCAGCCTGCCCCTGCCAGCACGCCCCAGCACATGCGTGTTGCTAGCTAGCCACGCATGCCGCTGGGCGCATAGAAGTGCTGGGCACTGGGCTGCTAGTGCTGGGAGAGGCCTCAACTCGCTACTGCTGCTTAGTGCTGCCATGCGAAGGCACGCACACACGCAAGCACCAAGCTCGCTGCTGTTGCTTGGTGCTGCCATGCGAAGGCATGCACACACGCAAGCAAGCACAGCGTGCTACTATGCAAAGGCATGCACACGCAAGCGTCTAGCTATGCGAGGCATGCTGTGCGCCTAGTGCTAGCGATACACGCACACACGCAAGCTCACATGCTGCGATGGTGCTATGCCATGCGAAGGCACGCACACACGCACAACCATGGTGCTGCGATGGTGCAGTGCTAGCGAAGCACGCACACACGCACACCCATGGTGCTACGATGGTGCGGTGCTAGCTCAAGCTAGCCTAGCAACCACATGGCTAGGCCGATGTGATACTACGGCTTTGCTCGAACTTGTTGCTTGTTAATTTTACGACGCTCGGTCTCGACGCCCTAGGCTTGATATCCGACGTCTATGTTCGTAATACTTTAGTGACTCATCAAATTCTTTGGATTGATTCGCTGGTTCGGATCGGCAATTTGATTGGGTTCGACCTGAAGGGTTCAGTCAGGACAAAGCTATAATATTAATTGTTCACTAATATTACAGATCGAAAGCGGCCTCCACCCAGGCATTCTTATCACTTGATCTCACTAAAGAATTAGCTTCCTGATAATCCTGAGCCCTCTATGAGAATAATACACTTGTTGGAAGGACACCATTCCTTTCACTTTTCATGGAAACCGGTTTTTCAATGGTCAACCGGTCTTTGATCTCCATGAGGATGGAGGAGCCGTCCTTGTTGAACTCGTACTTGGAGACGTACGGCTTCAACTCTCTCTTTTTCTTCTGGGACAGCTGACCAGAATGGTCCGCCACCAAGACTTCTTTTCAATTCTTGCTCTCTTCTTTTTTAGCCGGCTGAGCAGACCGGCTCTCTTTTTTGTCATACTTTTTAGGGTCCGACAGTTGCTTGATGGCACAAAGCTCCGTCGCCTGTATGTAGGCTTCGGCTTCCATCAATGCCTCTTGGAGGGTAGCAGCCCTCTTTCTGGCCAGGTTGAACTTGAAGGTCGACCCGTCCTTCAGACCCTTAAAGTAAGCATCGACACCAGGCAGCATCATCCAATCCCTGTAAGTACAGGAGGTTGGTGTAAGCCATTAGGTGGTCTTCCGGGTTGGTGGTACCATCATAGGTACCAACCAACACGTTCTTAACTTTGGCAAGCTGAGCCGCCTCAATTATCTCCCTGGAGAACGCCGACAGCTGTTCCCTAAGGTTTAGCAATCGGAGCTTCCAGTCCATGGGCTGGACATATTGTGTCGCCTGACCCCTAAAGAAGGTCGGTTGCATGTATGTTGATCTATACGGCATGTATATCTGTTGGGGCACGTACGGAGCTGGCTGGACAATTTGAGGGCCAGTACGTGCAGACATGCTGCGTGACTGACTCTCTCGGTTTGTTTCCGAATACTTCATTGAAGTGTTCCGGAAACTGTCTGCGTAAGTCGACGTTGAGGCCGACTAAGAAAATTGTTGACTTCTCTTCTCTTGGATGAACATCCGGGCATCTGAGTAAGTCCTTTTTGACCCATCCAGCTGAACTTTCCGAATGACCTTCCTTTGCCCTGATTCATGGAAACGAAGTTTAATAGGTCGATCATGGGCTCGTTCGCCCCTTTTGGTTTAGGGTGAGGAGTAGGCACACGATCTTTGACATGCTTCTTCCCGGAGGGAGAAGGCTTCTTGGCCGACTGGCCCTTGTTGGTGCCAGTTGACTTGTTTATCAGGTCTTTGATCTCCCCTTTGGTCATGAATTTCATGATTTCGTCTCTAGTTACAAGGGCAACACCTTCCGCCGCCTGGGGTCGCCCAGCCGGCTTGACAGTTGGGCTGCTAGGACTAGCTTTGTCTTCGCCGCGTTCCCTTGTTTCTTTGGAATAGGTGCATCTCGTTCTGAATGACCCGTCTGGGGCCACGTAGGTGTCGACCTCAAAGTCATCACCACTATCTTGGTCCGTGTGGACCTCGGTTTCGGCCATAGGCCGTTTGCCCTCAACAGGCGGTACAGACTCTGATGCCATCTAGGAAGTACTCTCCCTAAAGACGATGCCAAATGTTTCGGGGTTTTTTTAGTGTCCTGCGGGAGAGTTACAACACCAAGACTGACCTCCGGCTGCCTGTACCTGCAAAACAATGGAGACTCCCGGGGCCTCCGACAATCAAGTTAGAACGTGTATGAGGAGTAGAGTGCGGAATGTAAATGTGATCGGGCTCCACTTAGAAGAAGAGTGATCTTTCGACTGTCTGAGACAGCCTCAATATCTGAGTGTTTCACTCTTTGACTTGTGTGGATTGAATGTGTATTCAATATGAATCCCCCCTTAACTGATGTAAATGATCAGTATTTATAGAGTTTTTGGGAAAGGTGCCTCTTAAGTTATTTAACCTAGTTTGATGGGCTTCCACTGTTTTACGGTTTCTAGGGTTATGGGCTTAAAGCCCGCTTTCCCCTTTAAATGACACGTGTCATGCTCTAATTGGCTCATTGAGCGCTAAGCTCAGGGACACATGTTGCATTAGCATAGGTCCATTTGTCAGGGTTATTTTTATCCCAAACACCTAGCATGCCTCTACATATTGAAATAATTACTAAGTACACGAACGTACCTTGAATATGATCTCAAAATCGCCACGACTAAATAAAATCACTCACTTGAAAGTCTCCTACAAACCAAAATTACAAAGAAGTATTAATACCTCTTCCACACTAATTTCCAGCAATATATACTCTCTTTAAATCACTCATAAACCCTCTAAAAGAAGCTGAAATTTTTATTTAAAACCTTACTTTTATTCCCAATTAAAGGGTAGTTAAAAATCTTGTCAAGAAACATAATTATAGCATATACATAAAAAATTCCAGCATTATTAAAACATCTTAAATTGCTGTAATTATGTTTTAAAACACCTATTTCAATAATTTAAATCACCCACAATCAAATTCCCTGAATATACATTAATTTAGAAACCTAGGGTTTTCAATTTGGGGTTTTTTAATTCGAAACCAAATTTTAAAATTTATATACAAAATACTTATTATTAAACATTATAAAATCATCATAAAACCTAAAAACAATAATTAAATTTACGGTATATTAAATTAAAATCAAAGAACAATAATAATATTAATTTTTTTTTTTTTTGTTTTTTGAAGATGCGCACAGACCACCACGGCTGAACAGCTGTCGCACTCCCACCCGGTGGCCGCTATTGCTAGTGTGCGCCGGTGGTGGTGGCGCCGGCCGTGTGTGGTGGTGTATGGGTGGTGGTTGAAAAATAAAATAAAATAAAGAGGAAGGGGAAAAATTAAGGTGAAAAGAAAATAAGAGGAGAGAGAGAGTTTACCTTTGGGTGCACTCCACCTTAGGCATATGATGGGTATTTATACCCCCTCTCAAAATCCCCTAAACTTAAAATTCTTTACTACCCTTAATGATCCATTTCCTAGTCAAATGAGTATTTTGACTTTCCTTAAATACCTTTGACTTTAAAAAAATTCTTTTTATAAAATAATATGCCCCAATATTTCCAAATCATAAAATAAAATATATTCAAGAATATTAAATAATTAAAATTAAACTTTTAATTAAAATAATTCTTTTTAAATTAATAAAAACCATAAATAATTCATTTCGAATTATTTAAAATTTTTAGGAAATACTTATTTAATTAAAATACGTATAAAAATACGGGGTATTACAGTCTACCCTCCTTAAAAGAAGTTTCGTCCCGAAATTTGGGTAACGAAATTCAAACTTTTTCCTCACTTTGTATAATATTGTTGTACTCTTTTGTCATACTTTTTCCTTTAACATATCTTTGAGATCAAAATTACTCGAAATATCCGTCACAATTGTGCAAAAAGAACAAAAATAACTGAAAATACGGGGAAAAACGCGAAATTCTACCGCATTCTACTCCCCTTAAAGAATAAGAGTTACGTCCCCGTAACTCACCATACCTTAAACAACTCAGGATACTTCTTTTTCATCTCATCCTCATCTTCCCAAGTTGCTTCCTCATACTCTTGGTTAGACCATAGCACTTTAAAGATCTTAACTTCCTTATTGCATGTACTGCACACTTTACTGTCAAGGATCTTGACATGTCTTTCCTCATAAGTTAAGCTTTGATCTAACTCAATGGTTTCAGGTTGTAACACATGTGACTTATCAGGGATATACCTTCTTAACTGAGATACATGAAATACATCATGCACTTTACTTAGCTCCATAGGTAAGGCTAACCTATAAGCTACTTTGCCTATCCTTTGTAGTACCTCATATGGACCAATATACTTTTGGCTAACCTTTCCTTTCTTTCCAAATCTCATTACACCTTTCATTGGTGACACCTTTAACAATACTTTGTCACCGACCTCAAATTCCTCCTCTCTACGCTTCAAATCCGCGTAGCTCTTTTGGCGATCTTGTGTCGTTGAATCTTAGCTTGAATCTCCTTTACCTTTTTAGTTGTATCCTCAATCATTAGAGGCCCTTAAATCATTGTTTCACTTATGTCATTCCAACAGATTGGACTACGACACTTCCTTCCATATAATGCCTCAAATGGAGCCATGCCAATACTTGCATGATAGCTATTATTGTAGGAAAATTCAATTAAATCCAAGCTATCTTCCAATACTCCTTGGAAACCTATAACACAAGCCCTCAACATGTCTTCCATGGTTTGAATAGTTCTCTCAGTTTGCCCATATGTGGCAGGGTGAAAAGATGTACTCATCTTAAGTGTTGTACCAAAGTTTTCCTGTACACTCTTCCAGAACCTTGAAAGAAACCTAGAATCTCTGTCAGACACAATATCTTTTGGAACTCCATGTAACCTCACCACATTTTTGATGTAATTAAGCTTTTGCAAGTTGTTCCATTTTCCAGGTTTCCTTCATTGGTATAAACACCGCAGATTTTGTAAGTCTATCCACCACTACCCAAATGGTGTCGTTTCCACTCTTTGACTCTGGGAGACAAGTCACAAAGTCCATTGAAATACAATCCCATTTCCATCCAGGAATTTCCAATGATTGCACAGTTCCTTGCGGTCTTTTGTGTTCTATCTTCACTTTCTAACAAGTTAGACACTTTGACACAAATTCCGCAACTTCATTCTTCATTCTAGGCCACCAATACACTTTTTTCAAGTCTTTATATAGCTTGTCCCCTCCTAGGTATACTGATTATGGTGTATTGTGACCCTCTTCCATCAACTTTCTCTTAACCTCCGCACATTTTTGTGGTACACACCAACAACCTTTGTACCTTAACCTTCCCATCTTCATGAATCTTGAAATCCGTAGCTTTTCCTTGCTTTATTTTCTCATGAATCCTATCCAACTTTACATCTCCTACTTGATTTTCACTTATCTCATCAAATATTGTTGGTTGAATACGTAAGTTCGCAAGTATGCCTGCTGGCACTCCCCATTCTACCACTTCTAGATTCATTTTCCTCATCTCACTACATAACTCATCAGCCACTATCAAAGTATTCAGTCCATGACTGGTTTTATGACTTAGAGCATCTGCGACTACATTTTCTTTCCCCTCGTGATATTGTATGTCTAAGTCATAATCCGTCGTATACTCTAACCATCTCCTTTGGCGTGAGTTTAAATCCCTTTGAGTGAAAATGTATTTCAAACTCTTATGGTCTGTGTACATCCTACATTTCACTCCATACAAGTAGTGTCTCCAAATCTTTAACACAAAAATGATTGCAGCTAACTCTAAGTCATGAGTTAGGTAATTTACTTCATGAGTCTTTAACTGTCTTTATGCATATGCAATAACCTTCCCATTTTGCATAAGTACACATCCTATACCATTCTTAGACGCGTCACTATATACATCATAAACTCCACTATCGTCTAGCAGTGTAAGCACTGGCGCTGTGATCAGCTTTTGTTTCAAGAGTTGGAATGATTCCTCACACTTGTCATCCCATTTAAACTTCTTGTCCTTCTTCATTAGAGAGGTCATAGGTTTAGCAATCTTCGACAAATCTTTCACAAAACGTCTATAATACCCTGATAAACCTAAGAAACTCCTAATGCCAAACACTGTTTTTGGCGTAGGCCAACCCTTCATTGCCTCAACCTTTGCTTGATCTACTTCTACCTTATTTTTGGACACAAAATGACCCAGAAATGCCACTTTCTCCAACCAAAATTTACACTTAGAGAACTTTGCGTAGAGCTTATATTCCCTTAGTGTTTGCAGAATTGCCCATAAATGTTCCACATGTTCTTCTTTACTCTTCGAATACACCAGTATATCATCTATGAACACTACCACAAACTTGTCCATAAATAGATGAAAAACCCTATTCATCAAGTCCATAAAAAATTGTTGGAGCATTCGTTAATCCGAATGGCATTACTGTGAACTCATAATGTCCATACCTTATTCTAATTGCAGTCTTGGGAATATCCTCATCTGCAATTCTAAGTTGATGGTATCCAGACTGACAAGGGTTAAATCGGTCGCTACAATCTAACTCTCAATCAAACAATACTTATACGAACACCCTATAACCAAGTACAATGGCAAATAAAGGTTCGGTCCACGAGGAACGAGAGTAATTGCAAATCAATCTGAAACCTAAGCTAGTTCGAAATCAATGGAAAATGGTGTTCTAAAATAATACTAATAAGATGGAATAAATCAATAAACTAAGACACTAGGGAGAACGGGAATCCGCCTAACCATTGGTAACTAAGCAACAAGAAATCACAGAGACAAACGGGATATGCAAAGACTATAAGCCTGATCAATATCATGTGATAGGAAGACAACGGGCAATACTAAGCTTGGATTTCTCATGCACTTAACATTACTCGATACATAATCAAACCACATTCAATAATGAAATACTCAATTCACAATCTCTTGTTCAAATCAAGAATATCATGCAATCAAATTCAAGATTCTAGGTTAGCTACTCCTATTATAATGAATTAACATGCAATCGCATATAATCAATTTAATCACAATCCGTTTATCAAAATCAATCCTCAATTACATAGATTACCTAGGCCGGGTTTCATCCCGAAACCCTAGCTAGGAGACTACTCACACATATTCATAATCAAAGCAATAATGAATTCCAAAAGCATAATAGATATAAACATGAATTTTGATTAAGGAATAATAAAGCTTGATTAATAAACAAGAATGAATAATACCAATTGTATTGATGCGAATCAATGGAAAAGTTCAGAACTTTGATATCCGTCGTCAATGAATAATACAAAGAATCTTCGCAAATCTTGCTTCAAATCAATCCAAGAAAACTAAAATCTCTAGAAATATCTCTAAGAAAACTAATGAATCTCTAATACTAAGAACATTCTCCAATAACTCTCTACAAAGGCTCTCAAAACTATCTCTAAAACTGTCTCTGGAATCCTCTTAAAGTTGGGCCTTATATACGTCTTCTAATGCGGAGAAGTCAAGCGCGCAATTAACCTGGATCAGCACGGCCGTGCTGTATTTGGCACGGTCGTGCTAGCTTGTCAGTAAGTAAACCGGATTTCTTCTTCAAATTGGCACGGCCGTGCTATATATGGCACGGCCGTGCAGCTTCCTGGCACGGCCGTGCTGAATATGCTCTAGCACGGGGCTCATACTGAAGCTGACACGGGCACGGGCAACATCTGGCACGGCCGTGCTAATGGCCTGCACGGCCGTGCGAGTGCGTGGATACTGACACGGCCGTGCTATTGGCTTGCACGGTCGTGCTGCCTTGCCTGGGGTTGCTTGCTTATAGGCCAGCACGGGTGTGCCTATGGTAACACGGCCGTGCTTCCTGTGCTATGTAATCAATGCACGGCACTTGAACTTCCTTAACTCCTCGGACTCCGGTCAAGGCTAGCTCGGTTACGCATCAAGGGCTCGGGATCCGATTAAACTCGGTTGATATTACCTGAAAACACATCAAAAACAAACCGAAAACCCGTGAAGCACGTAATATGGGGAACGTAAGCATAACAAGGTAATAATCGGCCAAAGCGGCCCCAAATACATCCAAAATCATCCTAAAATATGCTCTAAAGCGCGCCCTAAAGTGCGCTTGTCAAAACCCCCCAAGCTACACTTTTGCTAGTCCTCGAGCAAAAACCAAGGGAAACACACACAAGATCAAATAAACTATGCCATTGCGAACAAATCAAATTAAGCACGGAACGAAATCAATGGATCCTACTTAGAACAACCATGCACGGAAGGAAAACTCACTCAAACAAGCAACGAGACACACAATCCAAGATATCGTTGATCAAATGCGAACAAGACCTAAACCAAGCATAGAGAACAAAGAAATCATGCTTCCCTCTAAACCCGACCAAACCGGCCACGTCCTCCCCTTTTGCTTCAAATCACCACCCTAATTGGCCCCTCGTGATTCCTCGAAGGAACTGGAAGAAGTGATGTTTTGAGGAAATAACAAAGGTATCCCGACATCTCGATTACGCATAATCCTTCCATAGGGTTGAAAGGTATCTCCCTCCACCGTTTGAGAACCGAACACCTCTAAAGTCTAAGGGTCTTAAAAGGGTTGTAATGTATTGGCAATGGGTAAGGTAGGTGAAAACAATTTTTAAAAAATGGGGTTAATTCCTAAACGAAGCGCAAGAATCACAATTCTCAAAAACAATAGTTCAAAAGATGTAATTCACTTTCCACAATCTCATTGATTCACATTCTTACACATCCCAAATTATCCATATAATACACACTCAAATGACCTCTTTCAAACTTCAAAACTTTATTTATGTGTCCTTGCCTTTTTCACAATTCGGACGGCTTTTCTCTTCTTCTTTTTTTTTTTCTTTTTTTTTATTGACGGAAAAATGACTTTCACGCTACATATTTACAATTAGGCTCACTTTCACACCTGCTCAAACCAACTATCAAACTTTATTTCTTGATTAGTAAACAATAAGCTCAACAAACCTATCTAGGTAAACGCTTCACAACTAAGGGTTGGTAAAACATTGGCCATCGGGTTTGTAACACGGTTAACCAAGAATGGAATTAAAGCTCAACATGGTTAGCAAGTAAGATGATGTAAAAAGAAAATCAATTTGTAACAAAACAAAAGGAACAAAATAAGAAAAATGAAAAAGGTGCCCTCTTCCTCCCTTAAAAGTGTCAAGTCGGTCTCGGGAGCTACTAGTCAACACAAAGATCGAAAAATGCGTAATCAAGGATCCAAATATGCCACTCAACAAGAATGATGAAGGCTAAACCAAATAAACCTCACGGGATCTAACAAATAAAGCAACTACCAATCAAGGGGGTCAAATCCACAACCGGGAAGCGACTCCAT